TGCTGAGGCTCAAGACCAGGACATGTCCCCGCAGCCTCGGCTCTGCCCACCCAGGGAGGAGGGACCCACACTGCCCAGTCCAGTGAAGCCAGAGGTTTCAGGTTAAAGGCGCAGTGCCCCGCAGCCCGCCGGGCTCCACACCCCTCAGCACCAGGCCCACCCTCCTGTTCTTCGCACCACAACCCGCCCCTCGCTCTCAGAAAAGCCTTCCTGGTTCCTCGTTCGAATATCCGGTGTTCATTGAACTCAGCGGGTATCGAGTGGCACCTGCCACGGTCCGTGCCCTGGCTTGCGGGCGAGGCCCCCGTTGGCTTGCTTTTCCACAACCACCACCACAACCCCGCCCCTCACTCTCAGAAGAGCCTTCCTGGTTCCTCGTTCCCTTTGAGCTGAATATCCTGTGTTCGTTGAACTCGGCGGATATCGAGTGGCACCTGCCACGGTCCGTGCCCTGGCTTGCGGGCGAGGCCCCCGTTGGCTTGCTTTTCCACAACCATTTTAAAAGGGAACAAGAGACTTCACCATTGAGATCATTTCTAGGACCTCCGGTCAGAAAAGTCCTCTAGTTTCTTCAGCAGCCTCTCCTTCACCACCAGCCTGTCTGCCCGTGAGGGAGAGGGTTCTGGCTATGCAGGGAGCACGCCAGGTCTCAGCCTCTCCCGCAGCCTCTCCCGCCTCTGAGTTTAACCTGAGGGGTGAGGACAGCCCCATCTCCCAGGCACTTTCACAGACTCCGTGGAGGGGTGTACACAGCACCCCGGAGCCTGCTCCAAGGAAAGGGGCAGTAGGTTGTATCACCGTTGTCTTTGAAAGTCAGGGCTTCAGCCTGGACACCACCCCAGTACATAGTCCAGTTTTATTACAGATACAGGTCAAGTCTGCCTCCGGCCTGCACCCCCTGCCCAGGCGGAGTCCCGTGCCCCTCTCTGGTCGTCACACCCACACCCTACGCTGCACCTGCTGTCTCTCCCCTTGACTCTGGGCCACTTGAGGGAGATGCTACGATAATGAATTCGCCTAGAATAGGGCCAGGCACACACTGGGTGCACGGACAGAACGGATTAGTTTGCCCACCACTCTGTGAGCATTTGGAATTCTGGGTCATGTGGAGCTCATCACAAAGTGCCTTTGGGTTTGGTGCAGCTGTCGCGTCCAGAAGGCTACGGAGGGCTCATTTTCACCAGCCCCAGGGCAGTGGAAGCCGTGGAGCTGAGCCTGGAGCAGGACGGGAAAAGCGAAGGTGAGGGCAGGATTCCTCCCGTTGGCGATACTAGATTCCAGAAATCAGGTTTGAACACTGCAGTGACTCTTAGCTCTAAGGTATTTAGGTACCGAGTTATTTCATGTTTGTGTAGCCTTTGGAGGGAGCAGAAAATGGCCTTCTGTAAGCGATTCTTGCTGTCCCACACAGGACACATCAACCCCTTAGCCTTCAGACCGAGCCGCCACCTTGGTCTGTCCGATGGAACACCTTCGCGCTAACGTTTATGGAGTGCCTACTGTATACCAGGCTCCATCACTTTGCAGTCATCATCTCCTCTAACCCAGGGGCACACACCCTGTGGTCCTTGTTTCACAGATGAGAAGACTGAGGCTTGGCAAGAGTGGGCACTAGTCCGAGGCCATGGAGCCAGTCAGCCAGGCCTGGCCGTTATAGTGATGAGTGGAGGCAGCAGGGTGGTGCTTACCCAAAGGGCTTGCAGTGAGCTGGGCCTGGGTTCAGGGGGTCGTTCCGACCTTGGCGAGTCCCTGACCTCACCGAGCCTGTTTCCTTGTTGTAAAGTGGCCCAAGGATACTGCCTCAGTGGCTCATCCCTTGCACTGGAGCGAGCTAGGACCTGGGCGGTCGACCCTGCAGATATGAACAGCATAAGGGGGGGTCAGTGTGGGGTGCTGCTCTTTAGGTTCGTGTGTTACTAGGTTGCCTTGCTCCCAAGGTTTAGGATGAAAAGGCGCCTGGGCAGCAGCCCTCATGGCCTCTGGTCTTTGCAACACACGTGTCATTTCGTGTTTTCCAGTCTGGAAAAAGTCTCTGAGAGAAGCATGGAGCGCTAAGCCGGTGTATGTGGTTGGAAACGCCACGGCTTCTCTAGGTAAGCAATCGGGGCAAAGATAAACACCAAACCATGACCCTGATGTTGTGATTCCTAATACAGGGTGTCCCCCAAAATGTATACACACTTCGCAGCTGAAATGTATTTAATAAACTCCGCCTCTGTGACTATTCACAGGGTGCATGCACATGTTTCGGGACACCCTGTACATTTCGTCTTCGTCCCTGCTCCTGCACGGAGCTCCCAGAACTTGATGTTTCCAGGTGCTGAACAGAGAGGTGTCTGGTTATTCATAACAAACCTCTGGCACCTCCACCCGAGTTCATTATTCACTTGAATGCGCTGACTTCTGGAAGGCCCTCAAGCTGGAGCAGGTTGTTGCCCGGGGAACCAGCCCCGGGGTTAGAGCAGGAACTTTCGGCTCCTGGGCCTCTGCACCAGCTCCGGGGAGAAGCACGGGGCTGGGGTTGAACCGAACCCCGTGCAGGGGGCTCAGGTGGCTCCCACGGGTGGGTGCGCAGGGAGAAGCACACAAACGCCCTGTGGTGCCAGCGGGGGGCCCAGCTGTGCTGTGCGGACCTGCGTCCTCGTTGAAGTTCGCAAGGTTCTGGGTGCACTGAGCCCGTCCCAACCCAACCGGAGGCCGGCACCGCAGCACAGGCAGGGCCTGGTTCCTGGACGGAGTCACAGCGGCCTGTGACTTTTCTCCTGGGCTCAGCGCTGGTCATGATGTAAATGAAAGGCTGGCGTGTTGACGTTAGAGCGGCAGCTTGGTATTCGCCAGGCTCGTGTGAGCACCTCCTTTCTCAGAGACCGTCCACATTCCTTCACGTTCCTCGCTGACCCCGCCGCCCGGGCCCAGCCTTCCTCACCATCCTCAGCGGGGTGACCAGGGCTCCACCCGGGATGGGCTGTAGCAACAGGAGGCTCACGAAAGTGGGGGACACAGCCCTCCCCCTAAATCACCTGCAGGTTTGGCAGCTGGTCAGCACCTCCCTCCCTCCCGCCCACCTCATTCCCACCATGTCAGCCCCCACCTTCCTGGAGGGGCTGGCTCGCTGCCTCCCAGGATGAGGCCTCTCCACTGTCCGCAGATCCTAAAGCAGTGATGGCGAACCTATGACACGCGTGTCAGAGGTGACACGTGAACTCATTTTTTTGGTTGATTTTTCTTTGTTAAATGGCATTTAAATATATAAAATAAATATCAAAAATATAAGTCTTTGTTTTACTATGGTTGCAAATATCAAAAAATTTCTATATGTGACACGGCACCAGAGTTAAGTTAGGGTTTTTCAAAATGCTGACACGCCGAGCTCAAAAGGTTCGCCATCACGGTGCTGTCCTCTCCTCTGTTTTTACTCTTTTTACTTATGCTCTCCCCTCTGTCTGAAGTGCCATGTCCCCTGCATGTCACCAGACTGACTCTTGCTCCTTTAAAAAGACTCAGCTCAGCCCCTACCCTCATTCCATCCCATCCCAGGCTAGGAGACTTCCCTGGAATCCCGAGTCCCTGCCTGAGTCACCGTCCCAGTACTTAACCCTTTGACTGGACTTGGTGATTTCTCCCACTACCAGGGGTGGGCAAACTTTTTGACTCGAGGGCCACAATGGGTTCTTAAACTGGACCGGAGGGCCGGAACAAAAGCATGGATGGAGTGTTTGTGTGAACTAATATAAATTCAAAGTAAACATCATTAAAAAAAAGGGTCAAAAATATAAGTCTTTGTTTTACTATGGTTGCAAAATATCAAAAATGTCTATATGTGACACGGCACCAGAGTTAAGTTAGGGTTTTTCAAAATGCTGACAGGCCGAGCTCAAAAGGTTCGCCATCACTGTCCTAAAGGCTCCCACCTGACCCAAGACCACCTCCCTCTGGAGCTCACCGACAGGGGAGAGGGGAGAGGGCCGGCAGCTTGCTTCCATCGCCTGCAGCCATAAAGCAGTCCCACCTGCTGTGTCTCCCCCCACGGACACGCTCAGTGGAGCATCATCCAGAGCCACACGCCCAGGAATCCTGGGCCAGGACCAGCACCTCCATCAGAGCAGGCCGGCCCCCTCCGCCAGGCCGGCCTCGGGGACTCTGTGGAGCGCACACCTTTGTGTTTGCTCCTTAAGGACAGCCCAGGAGCAGCGGGACCCTGGCAGCCATGGGAAACATGTGTTTGCTGTTTTCCAGTGAAGAAACTTGGCCTGGAAGCCGAAGGAGAAAGCAGTGGGAATGCCGAGAAGCTCGCGGAATGTATCTGTTCCAGTGAGTAGGAGAGGCCCCCAAATGTGGGTCTCGGAACCACCCCGCGGGAGGGTGGGGGTCCTTGGGGCCTTCTCCGCAGTGTAAGCCACCCCCGGGCCCTTGTCTGTGCTTGAGACCCAGCCCACTCCGCTGCCCGACACCAGGGACTAGAGACAACGCGAACTCAGCACAGAACACTCGGGGATGGGGCTCGGGCTGGGCTGAGGCGGGTGTGTCCACAGGGGAGCCACCTGCACTGCCTCTGCTGTTTCCCTGTGGAGCCCTCAAGGGAGAAGTGCTGCCGCAGATGCTCAAGGACAAAGGTATCAGCGTGTCCTTCTCCTTGCCTCTCGGGGTCCGCGAGAGCCTTCTGGGGTGGCCGTGGTCAGGGCTGCAGAGACTGCAGGGACAGGGCCCGGCGGGGCGTGAGGCGCATGCGGTCACTGAGTGTCACAGGTGGGGGTGGAGGTGACCTGGGCAGGGTTCGCACGGAGAGGACATCCAGGATGATCCACGAGGGCGGGCGTGTCTGCAGCTCACCTCCAGGCTCGCTCCCTCCGTCCTGGCTCCGGGCTCACTGTCCGGGAACCTGCCGTGCCCTGGAGCCTCTAACCCAGATAGGAATCTGCCCGTGGTGTTGGCAGATGTGACCTGCACACCTTCTCCTGTCACAGCGGGTCTGGGCCAGGGGGGCATCACCACGGTGTGGAGTGTGAACTTCAGGGTGAGACCGAACAGACTGCATCAGGGTGTGAGCCAGGGAGGGCACAGCCTCCGCATCCGGCTCTGGTCTGTGAAATGGGTAGAACAGGGCCTGCCTCGGAGCTGCCTGAGCATCTGTGAGTAGCACAACCCTGGCCTCCGAAGCAGCCGAGACCTATAATGATCACGTCACCCCCATCGTCCTAGCCAGGCAGCTGTCCACACAGCGCAGTCCCCGGGGCGATCGCAGGCCTGTAGCGTTCACCTTCCGGATCCACGGGCGACACCAGCTCTCAGTGTTAGCGGCTGTCTCTGAACACGGCCCGGGGCCATGGCAGGGCTTGAGGCAACAGGACCAGCAAGGGCGTTGGCCTTTGGAACAGGAACAGGAGAAACAGCGTGGCCCCGGGTGCCCTAGAGGCCACGTATAAACCAGAGGCCTGACACGCCCGCTTCTTCCTTGGGTTTGGGGGGAAAGGGTGAGCGTTGCTGCTGGTGCTGAGACTCTTGGCTCCTCCTGAGAGGTGTTCTGCCCCGTTCATTTCTGAGCCTGATGCCCAGTGGCCGCCTGCCTGGGGACTGTGACTGACACTTATGCTGTCACTTCTGGGCCTCCTCCTCCCTGCAGACCCAGGGGATGTTGAGTCCCCGAATGGAACAGGGGAACGTGAGACCCCTCAGAGCCTAGTCCATCCGTCTACAGTGGGTCCCTGGGGCCCCTGGGGGGCAGTGGCTCATCCAGGAGCACGTGGCCTGGGAGGCCACGCTGGGATGCCCGTGGGCTCCTGACTCATGGCCCCTCCCAGGGCAATAGCTCTGTTTCCCGGTTTTGATGGTGTCCAGGGATTCCCATGGAAAGCATCATTGTCTATCGGAAGATCCCCCACCCGGGAATCCAAGTGAACCTGGACAGCTACTACTCCAAGCAGGTGGGCCGTGGTGGAGGCAGGGGGCGCCGTTTCCAGGGGGGCTCGGGCAGGTGGGCGCCGTGGTGGAGGCGGAGGTGAGGCGTGGCCTCTGTGTGGTTCCCCTCCCAGCCGAGGCCTCACGGAGGCTTCATCCCTGTCTGTGAGCTGGGAATAGACCGTGTGGTGGTTTCACAGGGTTAAACAGCACCTGAGGCCTGGAAGCCTGAGAGACGGGGCCTGAGGATGCTCATAGCAGGGCCTAGGAGCTGTCGGGAGGGCTGGGAGTCTGGGTGGACGTGGCAGCCGGGGCTGCTGCAGGCTTCCGCGGGGGAGTGCGGGTGGGCGCCCGTGCGAGGGATGGACGTTTTCCAGCCCAGGTTCAGTAGACGCTTGCAGGTGGACGTGCTGTTGGCCTCCCCAGCACAGAAGGCCGTCTGCCCGCTGTCTGCTTCATTTCCGGGAGGAGGGGCTGTTGGCAGGGAGCCGGCTCCACTGCTGCCTTGCTTGCTCGGGGCCTGTATCCTTGGCCAGGCAGACGGGCCTGGGCCGCAGAGCCGCCAGGAGCTGTGCCAGCCTCTCGATCGCACCCCCTCTAAACCGCCCCTCGTCTGAGTCCTCTCCATGGAGGAGCCATGCCAGCACCCACCGGGGGGCTGCCTGGGGGCTTGGGGGTCCTTGGAGTCGAGCTGGGGGGCTTTCTCCCTCAGCACCAGCAAGGCACTGCTCTGGTCCTCCCGCAGGGCATCCCGGCCAGCATCGCCTTTTTCAGCCCCTCTGGCCTCACCTACAGCCTCGAGCACATCCGGGAGCTCTCTGGAAGCAGCATCGAGCAGATCAAGGTGAGGCACTCACTGCTTTTGGTCTTTTTCAGATTTAAACTTTTTTTACGAACCATCCTGAGTTTCCACGGAAAGTGAAGCACTCCCGACCTGGCGGACGCCCGCGAGGCCCGGCAGAACCCACTGGGAGGCCAGGCTGTAGGACCCCAGACCCGCTCCGAGCTCGCAGCGCCCCCTCCTGGCTGGGCTCTGGGACAGCTCACGGGCCTCTGAGCCCAGTTCCGCATTCGGCTCCGGTGTTGGCATCCGACCCCCTTTTCCATCTAAACACCTTGAGACGAGCTGCTCTAGGCGCTCGCCCCCTTCTCCTGTCTTTCACTGGAAAGGACGGGCATTTCCCCCTTTAGGGACTAGACTGTTGGTGTCCGCAGGTCCTTGCAGCCTCCTGGGCCTGTCCTGGGGCGGGGCGGGGCTGGAACTAGCTGGGCCTGCGGGGAGACTGGGGTGTGACCCGAGCTAGAGGACGGACATCAGCACTGCCAGTCTCCTGACCTCCCGAGTGAGAATGGAGGCCTTTCCCCTTTCAGCGCCCGTGTCCCCGCACACCTGGGGCGGGGGGTCTCAGGGTCCCAGGTGGAGGGAGTAACCCTCTTGTTCCAGGGCCCTGGTCTGACTGCCCCACTTCCCAAGGGTCCAGCCACCATCCCCCACGCTCTGTTCTGAGTTCCCCCGACCCCGCCCAGGGCCTCGAGGCTTTGAGGATGTGCCAAAGGGTGGTCCCCACGCTGAGACCTTTTTGCTACCCAGCAGGATCGCGCAGCCGGTGGGGAGGCCGTGATGACATGCAGAGGGGAAGGCATTTGGCTGCTCTAAAGCCGGGGTCCAATCGGGGAGTATTGTCATTTATAAGCTCTCACATGCCGAGCACTGAGCCCCTCTCTCTCCTCTGCAGTTCGCAGCCATCGGCCCCACCACCGCGCGCGCCCTGGCCGCCCAGGGCCTGCCCGTGAGCTGCACTGCCAAGAGCCCCACGCCGCAAGCCCTGGCCGCAGGCATCCGGACGGCGCTCCAGCCTCACAGCAGCTGAGGCGGCCAGCCCGGCCTTCCTGTGGGCCAAGGACAGCGGGGGCTGCCTGCAGGGGGTGAGGACCCACCCTCCAGCGCCTGCCTCGTGCCTGAGGGGAACCACCAGGCACCAGCGATCGGGAGGGGACCTGGAGCTGGCACTTTCCTCCACCAAGGCTCCTCGGACCCTCACCCAGCGCGTGCCGGCTCGCAGGCCCTGTCAGAGCGCTTCCGCCAGCAGCAGGAGAAATCCCATGAACCACACTGGCCCCCGTGGGCCTGGGCGGGACTGGCTGTGCAGCTTCCAGGGAAGGTGGTGTTTGGGGGAGGACAGATGTGCCCACGTCTGAAACCAACAAGCCTGTGTGAGTGAAGTCTGTGTGTGTGAAGTAGTTCTGTTCATCCTACAAAAAGGGCCTGAAGTGCCGCCCTGGGAGCGGGAAATGGTAAGTCAAACACAGAGCCTTCCTTCAAAAGTGGAAGCGCAGCCTAGTCCGCCAGGCAGGGAGCCCCACCCGCCTCCGTTTCCTGGAATCAGATGTAAGAGCTGCAGCTCCAGCAGCCCTTTGGGGCCCTGGGTGACCTTGAGAAAGGAGGCTCAGTACGGCAAGGGGACACGTGGATGCTAACCAGCCTGCCCTGGACTTCCTGAATAGAAGAGAAATGTGAACTCCTGCTCTGTTTAAACCACTCTTATTTTGAGGTTTTTTGTTATAATCAAATCCCAGACACAGGATGGAACCTGGCTGGTTGTGAGTGACTCGGGCCCACGTGGTCAGGGGCGGGGCTACTTTCTACCACGAGAGATGCATGTTCTGTAGGGTTTGGGGTCTCGGGCGGAGGGTGGGAAAGACAGTGAAGCCCTCCATCCTGATGGTCAGCAACTCAACTTGGTGAGCAGCCCAGTGAACGCGCATCTCTGAGGTTTTCCATACAGAACAGAGCAGCCCAGGTGACCCAGCCCACACCACAGCTCTTTAGCCGCTCTGACCCCGCCCCCTGGGGGGGGGGCACGGAAACAGACGCAGAGCCAGCCTCCCAGGGGCCCCCCTGCCCTGAGCTCCAGGCAGGAGAGGTGAGAGCGCCTGCTCCTGGGTGTCTCCACTGCAGCCAGAACAGCTGCTGCCCCAGTGCAGGTCCGTGCTGGTCGGTAACTGATGAGCCGCGAGCAGCCCGCTCTGGTCAGTGAGCAAATACTCGCGCTCGGGGTGCTGCTCGGTCTGCGTTTCAAGGTTTACCTGGTGGAAAGGGTTCCCCGACTGACTAAGGTGAGCTTCGGGTCACTGCCCGACACCCGGTGTGTCTGGGCCTGTGCTAGGTGCCTGGGGACCAGGGAGAGCACAGCTCCTGCCCGCAGGGCCAACCACCTGGAAAGAACAGTCAGGAGGCAGCTGAGCTCGGCATGGACGTCTGTACTTCACAGGACAGCCCGTGGGGGGACGCGGGGGCCCACCTCTCAGGACAGTCTGTAGCAGCGCGCTCCGGGCTCCGTCCATCTGTCCTTGGGGGGAGGCAGCCTCTCAGCTTCCACACCCAGCCGCCTGCCTCTGCGGTGGATGCCGCTGATCGTCATAGTTTCCTTCAGAGATTTTATAAAAAGCACAAGTTAGGCTCGTTGTACAGCCTGTTTCTCACCGCCGACTCCCAGCTCGGGCAGGGGAGGCCGCTGGAGCCGCCTCTGGGGGACCCGAGGCAGAGGCTCTGCATGTGGCTGCCCCACGGCCTCAGGGCTGGCCAGGGTGAGAAGGGGAAGTTGACACTCAACCACTGAGCAGCCAGGCCTATGCCTTTTTAAGCTTTCCCGCTGTTCCCAACCTCACGGAGGGTGCGGCCCCAGGTGTCCCGTGCGAGGGGTGTTCTCACGTTTACCCACGTCACTCACCTCAAGGCGCTGGCCAGCTTGCAGTAGAGACAGAGGAAGCAGCACATGAGGAAAAACGAGGCGATCAATAAGCCGCCGCCGATGGCAATCATGACCTCCACGTCCACCTTGTCGACCATGCCCTCAAAGCCGAAGGGAGAGGGAGAGGGAGGGGAAGTTGACGCTTAACCACTGAGCAGCCCGGCCTTTGCCTTTTTAAGCTTTCCCGCTGTTCCCGACCTCACGGAAGGTGCGGCCCCAGGCATCCCTTGCGAGGGGTGTTCTCACGCTTACCCACGTCACTCACCTCAAGGCGCTGGCCAGCTTGCAGTAGAGACAGAGGAAGCAGCACATGAGGAAAAACGAGGCGATCAATAAGCCGCCACCGATGGCAATCATGACCTCCACGTCCCAGCCAGGCACAGCCCCAGGATACTTCATGGAGGAAGCATGAACCCCACCCGCAGGCCTGTGCCTGTGAAACACGGACGGTCTCCCAGGGAGGCCCAGGGCCTCAGCCACATGGGGGTAAAGGGTTTATTCGCGGATGAAAAGGGACTGAAATGCAGTCAGAGGAAGGAGATCAGGACAGATGGTGGGAAGGGCTTTCTCTCCCTCTCGCGAGCAGTAACGTGCAGGTAGCGGCGAGTAACAAACAGGCCGCACGGGAGCAAATAGCTTCACTCCCAAATCCTGAAATGTGTTCCTTTTCAGAGTCAGAGGTGACCCCTCACTGTACATCAGGCTTAACCATCTTCCGTGGGAATAAGCAAGGGAATGTCTTTTTCCAAAATGCTATGTTGTGCACTGCTGAGAATATGGAAACCTACTTTAAATAATACATATTATAGGGAAAAAGATTTCAATCCCCCCACTGGCACCTGCGTCATGCCACCTCAGCGTTTAAGGAGATTCTAGAAGCTTCCAGCCAAACCCTCCCCCAGGCTCAGGGACGGCAAGTGTCCTGCACAGACCAGGAGCCAGTTTCTCCAGGAGCCCTTGTCCCTCACTGTGTAAGACACACAGCTTCCTCTGCCACTTTTCCTCCTAAACCCAACTGATTTCCTCAAAATCCGATTTACCTGGGTAATCAAACACTCTGAGCCCGGAAGCCAGTCCACGCAGAGGCTGGGCAGTGCTGGGGCGAAAGGCACCCCCAGAGACAAGCAGACCACCCGACTGGTAGGCACACGTCCCTGCGTCCAGCCGTCCGGACCCGCATGAGGCCAACTGCACGGGACAGCGAGAAAGAGGACACGTTAACTAGAGAACAGGGCCCTCGGTAGGAGCCGCCTCCCACCTCTGATCCCGGGCAGGGGTCTGTCGGCCGGCACCGGCCCAGCTGTCGCAAGTGCTTCGACCTGACTCTCAGGAGCGGTCCTCGGCCAGAGCACTGGACTCCACGGGCCCCACCTGACTCAGACCCCTCAGGACACAGGCTGTGTGACATCAGCTCAGGAGCCGCTCTCCGGCCCAGGGTTCTCAGTTCTGTTCCGCAGCCAGAGTTCCAGGCCCCAGCAGACAGAACGTCTAGGTCACGTTTTGGATAATTATGTCCTAAGACTTGCACCTTTTCAGGTGTCTGTTTCCCCGGAGAAAACATTTAGGGCTTGTCTTCTAATTGAAACATAGTTTGAGATTTCAATTGAATAAAAAGGAAAGAAAACCCAGTTAAGTGGGGAATGAACAACGCCCTCACACCCAAGACGGTGCTGTTTTAGCCACACTACACAGTGAAACAGTGCAGCCATCCGTGTTTCTCCCTCACACTGATGCTTCTCTCTCCCCTTCCTCTCTCTCTCTAAAATCAATAAAAATTAAAAATAAAAACAGCCCAGCAGGTGTGGCTCAGTGCTTGAGTGTCAACCTATGAACCAGGAGGACATGGTTCGATTCCAGGTCAGGGCACATGCCTGGGTGGCATGTTTGATCCCCAGTAGGGAGCGTGCTGGAAGCAGCCAATCCATGATTCTCTCATCACTGATGGTTTCTCTCTCTCCCTCTCTGAAAATCAATTAAATACACACACACACACACACACACACACACACACACACACATACTAGAGGCCCAGTGCACAAAAATTCGTGCACTGGGTGGGGGGCAGGGGGTCCCTCAGCCCGGCCTACGCTCTCTCGCAGTCCGGGAGCCCTTGGGGGATGTCCACCTGCCAGCTTAGGCCCACTCTTTGGGGGATCGACCCATGCTGGCAGTCAGACATCCCTCTGGCAGCCTGGGGGCCCTCGGGGATGTCCAACTGATGGGCCTAAGCCGCAGTTGGACAGCCTTAACGCTGCCGCGGAGGTGGGAGAGGCTCCCACCACTGCCACTGGGCTCACAGACATCAGCCCGGCTTGTGGCTGAGTGGAGCTGCCTCTGTGGGAGTGCACTGACCACCAGAGGGCAGCTCCTGCATTGAGCATCTGTCTCCTGGTGGTCAGTGCACATCATAGTGACCGGTTGTTCCTGGTCATTCCAAGTTAGGGTCAATTTTCATATTACCCTTTTATTATATAGGATATCCATCTTCAGGTGAGGATTAGAAAAAAATCCCTGAACCCGTAGAACAGACCCCATGTTGCCATTACCTGGGATGATAAACACCAATCTTCATGAACACGGGAAGATGCATGTGCTGTTCCATTGAGCTTAAATAAAGTAGAGAATACGTGACATGTAAAATTACACACAGGTACTTCTCTATGTATGTACACAATGCATCCATCTGCAAGGATGTTCACGAAGATGTTGCCATCTGAGTCATAGGCATCCCCTTTATTCTCGGTACTTCCAAAAGCTACACCTTCCTATACTGACTAGGTATTCCTTTTAGAGAGAGATACAAAAGCAATAAGAAAAAACTGATAAACAAACTAAAATTTTCCCTCCCAAAAAAGGACCCAGACTCCGGGGGTGTGAAGTGCAGCACAGGGAATGTGTATGGTGCCAGGTGGGGCATCACTTTGTAAATTATATGTCTGACCACTATGCTGTACACCGGAAACTAATATAATATTGAATGTCAACTGAATTGGCAAATCAAAAATAAAATAAAAGGTAAAAAAATTAAAAAGCAATTTCCACTCTAAAAAAAATAGACCCTAACTATGAGCAAATGCATGGTCCTGGGGGCTCCCTGCAGGCGCAGTGCTGAGGCGGTGGCGGGTTTTGCGCCTCCACCCCCAGGTCCCATGGCACGTACACACACGCACTCACAGCCCAGGCGCACCTGCACGTACACACACGCACTCACAGCCCAGGCGCACCTGCACGTACACACACGCACTCACAGCCCAGGCGCACCTGCACGTACACACACGCACTCACAGCCCAGGCGCACCTGCACGTACACACACGCACTCACAGCCCAGGCGCACCTGCACGTACACACACGCACTCACAGCCCAGGCGCACCTGCACGTACACACACGCACTCACAGCCCAGGCGCACCTGCACGTACACACACGCACTCACAGCCCAGGCGCACCTGCACGTACACACACGCACTCACAGCCCAGGCGCACCTGCACGTACACACACGCACTCACAGCCCAGGCGCACCTGCACGTACACACACGCACTCACAGCCCAGGCGCACCTGCACGTACACACACGCACTCACAGCCCAGGCGCACCTGCACGTACACACACGCACTCACAGCCCAGGCGCACCTGCACGTACACACACGCACTCACAGCCCAGGCGCACCTGCACGTACACACACGCACTCACAGCCCAGGCGCACCTGCACGTACACACACGCACTCACAGCCCAGGCGCACCTGCACGTACACACACGCACTCACAGCCCAGGCGCACCTGCACGTACACACACGCACTCACAGCCCAGGCGCACCTGCACGTACACACACGCACTCACAGCCCAGGCGCACCTGCACGTACACACACGCACTCACAGCCCAGGCGCACCTGCACGTACACACACGCACTCACAGCCCAGGCGCACCTGCACGTACACACACGCACTCACAGCCCAGGCGCACCTGCACGTACACACACGCACTCACAGCCCAGGCGCACCTGCACGTACACACACGCACTCACAGCCCAGGCGCACCTGCACGTACACACACGCACTCACAGCCCAGGCGCACCTGCACGTACACACACGCACTCACAGCCCAGGCGCACCTGCACGTACACACACGCACTCACAGCCCAGGCGCACCTGCACGTACACACACGCACTCACAGCCCAGGCGCACCTGCACGTACACACACGCACTCACAGCCCAGGCGCACCTGCACGTACACACACGCACTCACAGCCCAGGCGCACCTGCACGTACACACACGCACCCACAGCCACAGGCCACCTGCACGTACGCACACGCACCCACAGCCACAGGCCACCTGCACGTACACACACGCACTCACAGCCCAGGCGCACCTGCACGTACACACACGCACTCACAGCCCAGGCGCACCTGCACATACACACACGCACCCACAGGCCACCTGCACGCACGCGCACGCACTCACAGCCCAGGCGCACCTGCACGTACACACACACACACGCACACGCACACGCACCCACGGGCCCACCTGCACGCACGCGCATGCACTCACAGGCACACCTGAACGCAGGCGCACACACACACACCTGCACGCACACAGCTGTGCACGCTCACACAGGTGTGCACGTACGCACATGCACACGCCCACAGGTGTGCACGCAGTCACTAGTGCACACACGCACACGTGTGCACACGCCTTTCAGGTGCTGGACCTCGAGCGCTGCCCAGCACAGGTAAACACACAAACACACAATGTAGTACATATGGAAACCGCTAAGCAAATATGCACCGGCCTGTGCAGATAGAAACCACAGAGAACATAAGTGCAACACGCGCTGTTGGCCGGGCGCCCCACCGATCCTGGGTTTCTCTCCCGCAGCGGTTCCTGTCCAAATAC